ATGTTGAGGTCTCTATTGAGCTTTACCTTGAACTCCTCAGCACACCTCACTACTCTCTCACAGCTTTCATGCATGTCCTACCCCACTCTACAGGGCTCTGCATGGTCAGGCTGAACTGCCGAAATCTGTTTTCATTGTCAGAGTTGTGTGTCGTTTTGTTGTCTGCCCCATGTTGTCTTTTGTAAACTTTTTGCTCCCCTCTGCATGTGAAACTATTGTGTGCTTGGTCAGAATTTCCTGGGTATGTTTGTTTATGCAGAAGCCAGCCTCAATTACTCAACTTCCAGAAGCAGGCTCTTCACATTGACAGCAGCATGGATAGTTTTGGGTGGCTTAGCTTCCCGCCAATGCATTCTGTTTTTCGTTTTCTTGATAACATTGAAAATAAAATGAGATGTTGCAGCTCATCAATCATTATTTCCTCCAAATTTGTGAACTTGTAAGAGTTGTTTCTCTCCGTCCTGGCCGCTGTGTTTACTGTAACTGTTGTAAACCACTCATATGATAAAGCACCGGTTTGATACGTCTTGTGGACCTTGAAGGGTGTGTGCAAATGTCCTGAAACTATGTGTCAACAGTTTGTCTGTGTTCCAACCATGCAGGGCCCTTAGAATACTTCTCTGCCAATTCAGACCTACTCATGCCATACCACAGCTCTTCTCTCAGCACCTTGTTGTATGCGTTCTTTAAATCTACAAAGATGCAATGCAGCTCCTTCTGACCTTCACTTTACTTCTCTATCTGCATCCTTGAAGCAAAACTTGCATCTGTATTGTTCATTCTCAGCGTAAAACTGTACTGATGCCTATAAATCCTCACCCTAGCTTTCACCACTCTTTCCCTTTAAAGATTTCTTCTGTTTATGTTTTTTTAGCCCTGTTTATATTAGAACAATTTATCCAGTGGTGCAATAAGTCATGCTTGCAGTTAGATGTTTTGAAAACAAAAGATATGCTGATTGATTTTTGAAGAAGTCTCTCTACGATCGTACAAACAGCTGTTAATGGTGCAGTGGTAGAGATTGTCAGTCAGTATAAATATTAACTTTTAATCTTGAGTGTTTTATTTTTCTTCTGAATCCATTTGAACTTTTGGCATAATGTACTGGTTTGGAAACCTCAGCTTGATAAATAATAGGTCGGGTTTGCACGCTAATCATAGATTGTGTTTTAAGAAACATGAATTAAGTCATGAAAACTAGAGTTACTAAGAGGGCAAGATCGATCCTGAAAGCCTTGGCATCCTTTGTACTCTCAGTTCAGACTAATACCATAAAAAAGGCGGCTTACTTAGGCCCAAAAGGCAATATCAAACAGGCACTGGAGATAATTTATTCCTTTAGCTACAGGGTTTTGAAATGGTTTCAGATGAGTCATGTTGTTGGATTCCTGATATAAATTTGTAATGTGTATTTAGTTTTTGTTTTTTTTTTTCCCTGTCCTCTGCGGTGTGGGAGTGTACTGTTGTGGTGTAGATTTAGACTCTGCTGCAAATAAGTTGCCCTATGGGGACATAAATTATATCAAATTAAGTCATCTTTTTTTGTAAGATGATAGAAAATTTATAAATTGCTTTTTTTGTTGTTGTTAATGGATAAAAAAGTAATTGCATTGCACAATTACCTAGTTGAGTGTCTGGTGACTCCGGCACCTACAACCTCCAAACAGCAGGTGGAGCCATAAGCTCTTGGAAAATGAAAGTGAAAGTGAATCTGAGAAGGTGGCTTTTCAAGTTTTCTAAACCAAATAAGAGTGTTGCCTGAAGGTGATCGAAAACGGTGCTGAAAGGTAAACACATGCGCAGTGAGGCCACGCCGGATTAAACCTGCGCACAGTTACTTTACTACAAATAATAATCATAATTAAAAAAAATGCTTCTTATAATATATCCGAAGTTGGGCTTGCTGGGCCCTGCTGTCGGGTCAGAGTGGGGAGGTAAACCCGCTTACCGCTCGCTGGTCCCGGGGCAATGTGAGCTGGAGAAGGATGACCTGGAGCGCCGTCATGAATTCTTCTATCATCAGCGCAGCTGCCGCGGGGGCTCCTCTACCCAGCACAGCACCAGCACAACTCTATCACATCTTCGCATTGGATCTGCGACAGTAACTCCGCTTTGTCTCATTGGTCCGAAATCCACTGTTGGTTACACTTGAGCCGAGCGTGAGTGCGGTTCCGCAGTTCCACTCTCTCTCCCAACACACACACACACACACACACACGCACACACACACAGACTCACACACGCCCGCCCTGTGCGTCTCTCTCGTCACGTCGAGCGCGCACTCCTCCTCCGTCACTGTAAAGGAGTTGTTTCTAGAATTTATTGTAAAAGTTTTTCAGCTGTCATGTTTTTATTACGGGAACACTTCTGCAGCTTCGCCCTGCCGGAGAAATCAGATGGTTTCCCAGAAGCGTCACCGTGCCAAACTCATCATGATCACATTTTTTTTATTATTTTTTTTTGTTTTGTTTTATGTTTATTTGGCACCTAGACACCGTTTCATCTGCATCATAATTTACAACTTCCAGGCTGTTTTGTGGTCATTTGATAAATTGCAGCATGTCAAATGCTTAAATTACTAAGCGTTTCCTTTCTCTGCAGATTAGGAGTTGGGATAATAAGAAAGGAAGTGTGGAAACAGTAATTACTATGATTAGTTGAAACTTGATAATTGTGTTTGCTGTATTTAAAAACCACACTTTTTCTTTCTCAGCGTCTGATGGGAGTTTTCTTCCATTAGGTCGGTAGGATTATCAGACTTTCTTCTTTGTTTTAAATTGCTCCACCTCCTTCGCAGAAGGTAAAAATACTGGACAGTCCCAAGATGTTTTTGCTTATATTTTTTGGAACCTTAAGGCAAATTTCACCCAATGATGAACCAGACCTGTAGATGTGATATTATTTGTCATGAAGCCACCAAAAGAATGAGTGTGTTTGAGTTGTACCTTAAATTATATCCATATGAGTATATTATTTAATTCGTTTTCAAATTCGAAATTATTCTCCATGAAGTGCATTAACTCATAACAGCTGTCAAAATCAACCCTGTGTAGACATTTTTTACTTCTTGTTACAATTTTTCTGCTTCTTTGTCATCACATCCTCGTCTTCATAACAAATCAGTCATTTTTAAATAAGAAGCACAGTTGAATGATCACTAAAGAGGTGAAACTTGAGTGTTTATATTTCTAAACAAAACCACACACACAGAACCCATTTGCGTCCCACACGGGTCTCTGTTCGGTCCGTTTCTCTTTCCCATACTAGTATGGGCGCCATATTTGTTTCTACACCAACTAGAGCCGCTTCAGGATGACCGACGGCGCCCTCTTCTGGTTGGAGGGTAAAGTACCACTCTAATAGAAGGTCTAAGCAGACAGTTTTAGCTAATCGATTGGAACTAATTGTAATCTATAAAACATTATTTGACAATTAACCGTAAGTAGATTAATTGTTTGCATCCCTAGCCAGGAAGCAGCCTGGCTAGATGGACAATTTAAATTGTAGGTACAGAATTCAAGGTGAAAGTATTCTACAATTTTACATCCACTGGATAAATACTCAACAGAAGATACCATTTTAAAATAATGTATTTAATTATTCCTTAACAACCACTGAGTCTGGAGTTTTCTCCTAATCTCTGGTGTCACCATTTTGTGGAATACTGTAAGTGCCGCCAGGAGTATGGAGTGCTGTAATTTCCTGACAGATGTGGAGAGAAAAAAAAAATCAATTTCACATCAGTTTGAAAGATTAAAAAGTAGATCATAAGCATAAAAATGAGGGATATTATATCTATAATTTCAGCATGTTTCCATTTCATAAACACTCAATTCAGTTAGTTTTTCACCATTAATTACTTTTATTTATTTCAGTTAAAAATGTTTTCTCAATTTCAGTTTTTATTTAATTCATTTAACTTAAACTATAATAACTTTGCTAAATACTGAGAAAATATAAGTAAACTTCTGGTTTTGAAGACATTAATCTGACATATCCTATAATTATTGTAGCATTTAGGACAAAAACTAATTTTGATAGTTTAACAGAACAAAAGAAGTTTCTCAGAAAGGAATGTGTTTTTTTATTTATTTTCAGGTAATCTTAATTCAAGAAAAACATTGCCCTCACCCATCCCTTAGAGTAGTCAAACCGCTTATTACCATTATCCTGCATGTGTACTCTGTCAAAATTGGAAAGAGTCAATGGGGGCTTTGAAGGAAAATTAAATCTTGAGAAAAGTCACAAAAACACACAAAAATAGCAGTTCCTAATCTCTTGGCAAGTTAGATCATAAAAACACATGGTAAAGTACTTCAGTGGGAAAATAAATGTGTAGGATCAACTGTATGCGTTCCTTAAGCTGTTTCAAAAAGAACTGAATGTCCTGAGGCAGCCCGGCTGCACGTCATGCTCATGTTAAATTCTCTGTTACAGTAGACATGAAGGGTGACACCAAAAGGAGACAGACATCTGGCCTGTTAGTTGGGAAAATCCAGCTAGCTATAAAATGATGGAAAAACAAGTGAACTCTTGTTATGGGGTTTCACTAATGAAGCCCATAATAAACAGACATGATGAAATCAAACTCCCACAGACACACCACACCAAAAACCTTGGACACACAATAGTGGAAACATTTGTCATGAGATCTTCCCACTGGTTCTCATTACAGCAAGAGATTTTGAATTCATATACAAGTATTGTAAGCTAACTGAATAATGTTACTAGTGGAGCTCTGACCACTTAAGCTCCGACTCAATTAAAATGTTTAGCCAGTAAATTGCAGGGGCTGTTATTAATTACAATTTATCACATTTTAAATAAAAAACAATTAAGCATTTGTGCGTCAGATGTACGGGTGTACCAGAAACGTGCAAATAAATAAAAAAATATCCAATTAAATGAGTTAAATTTACATAATTCAGTCATCAAAATTGAAGTCCCAACCCTGTTAAAAACCAAACATTTCAGAGAATGAATTAAAATAAAGAATGTTCAGTCACAATTTTATTGATTTAGATTCATACTAAACTTTATTCCTTCAATTCCTTGCAGAAGGGTGAAGTTTGAAATGGTTCACAACATTCCTAAAAGTCACCAGAGAGCGCTGGAATGAACAAGGAGCTTCAAATAGAGAACCAGTCATTTCTTATGTTTTATGCTTTCTAACAGCTAGACTTTCTCATCTTCAACAGTGGTTCTGATCAACAGGTCAATCAGCCTTTATGAGGATTTTCCTTAGACTTTAACTGCTTTTCTCCTGATTTCAATCCAGTATACATGACCCACAACTCTTTTTTGCAAGAAAAATCTCATGTGAAGAACCAGTGTTGTTTCTACATATGGCAGTTATGTTTTTATTTGCTAATGCTCAAGCATTTAAAAAAAATCCACAACTATGTATCCAGAGATCCGGCACAGATTAAAAACTACAAAAATTTCCCATCATATAATTTTTACACATGAAAGTACAGAAGTGTTCATTTCAGGAGCATTTCTTGCTAAAACGAGAAAGTTTTACGTTTTAACAAGATACAAAAAAGTAAAGTTTTATATTTTGTTAAAACCAAAACATGTTTTTAACGAGAAAAGTCGTAACAGTAAAACAGCAACACCTTGTGCGATGGTTGAGTGTCACCTAGAAGAAACAAAGTAAGAAGGTGTCAGAGGAAGCCGCTTTATGCCTTTTTAAGAAGTCATAATCTGACAAATTACGACTTTTTACGATATTTAAAACTCATCTTGTTTTACAGAGAAACTGCAAAACAAAATCCTGCTCCTGAATTTCAATTAAATGCTTTTGTAAAGTTATTTTAATGCAATGCAAATGAAATCTGTTAAGTTATGTATGGGAGTTTACAATAATGTACTAATGCCCCTCCCCCACATGATGCCAAGTACTGCCTGGCCTTTGATTGAAATATTATTACATTTTGCCAACAAACTTGATAATTTAACAATATACTCCTGTTACGCTAGATGGGAAAAACAGCAGCAAGTTAAACGTAGATTATTTTTGCAGCTGTAAGAAGGATTTTTGCTTTTCTATTTTTTTAAAGAAAAAAATCATGTTTTATTTATTTACACAGGTGTTAATTTGTAAATATCCTTTAGATGGTTCTTTTATTAAGCCTGGTCTAACTGTGAGAATCTCATAGTTCTTAGTCAACAAACTGCAGAATGCAGCTTTTAATAATCAGTTTTGCCTTTTGATATTTATTTACTCACTCCTGGGTAAACTTGGGCTTTCTGGTACAGTTTATGGTTTTTCTCCGTTTGTCCTCCTCTTCCTCATCATACCATATTGATACCAGGACTAGACAAAAAAACATGTGAAAAGCTTAAAAAAAAAGAATGCATATAAACCACTTCCAAAGATTACAAGAACATTAAGCTGCTTGACTGCTAACTGCCAAACTCTGTGACTTTCACTCAGTTCAAATCCACTCCTCAGTCTTACTTTAGGCTGCAGTGCCATCTATCTTCAGCTCAGCCAGGGACTCCGAAGCAGTTTCATCCTCCTCTTCATCTTCATCTTCTTCCTCTTCCTCATCCTCCTCATACCCGTCATCCTCCTCTTCCTCCTCATCATCATCATCATCATCTCCATAGTCGTCTTGTCGGCTTCCTCCAGCTGCCAGGTTCTTCCAGTAGGCGTCGTACCCGGATGCGCCGTCATAGTCGTCTTCATCGTCGTCGCCACCGGCCTGCCGACCAAACTTCAAGGTGCGAGCTGCGGAAAACAAACGAACCAATCAGATTTAGAGCAGATCCCGTCTCCGCTGCAGACATGCATGTTTGCATGAAAAATCAAGCTTCCACAAATTAACTCTGTGCATGAATCCGAATAATTTTTACAAGACAAAATAGTTTGAAGGCAACATTGTCAGTTTTTTACTCAAGAATTCTCCTCTCACCATGTGTATTTTAAAGCAGGCATTCTGGAGCATTAAGTTTTATGGCTTGCAATAACAATAAAGAGGCTAAAAGAGAAAATGTGGAGTTTTAACAAGACATGTATTTACATGTTTACTGGGCTCAGTTTATGGAAAACAGACCTGCTCTTTGGAACCACATCTTGAATTTAAACAATAAAAATTACATGCAGGAAGAAAAAAAGCAGAGAAATAAACAACTATTGACAGTTGTTTGTATAAAGGATATGTAGGATCATTTTGGGGATTTTATATTTTACATGTGGCAGCACTGACACATTAGTAACATTTTTTCATTCATTTAAGTCATAATTTTTTCCCAATCTAAAAAAAGCAATCTGTGACCCTTCAGTACTTTTTGTATTGAAATCCATTCAAAATGTCATGTTTTTCACAAAACAATATTTGCATATAAAAAAAATCTAAAATTATAATGGTTTTTGATGACTTGGCACCTAAATAAATTTATTTATAAGCCTTTTTTGGCACTAAGGCTCCAATAATACCCAAGAACCCTTTAAAGGGCCAGTATTACGCATTTCCAAAGCACATAATGCAATATTATAGCACAATGAAGTAAATATGTTACTTTCACACATACATACATATATATATATATATATATATATATATATATATATATATAAATTTATGTATGTATATACACACACACACACACACACACACAAGACTTACAAAACTTTTGACTTTAAAATTTGATGCCTTGAAATTGGGCCTCTGTCTCTTTAAGAATACCTGCTCGTTCTGAAACAGCAGCAGGAAGTCATCACAACATGGCTGCTCTATTAACCCTTTAACAACATTATTACCAGCGATTCACTGAGAAGTAGCTCCTATAATGAGCTCGACAGAGGCTTAGTTCCATCAAGTATTTATCAATTGCTGCTGGCTAGTCTGAAGGAGCTGAGTTGGGGAAGGCTGCTCAGTGAGGCAGAAGTTGAAAGCTTGGAAACTGCAGCTCAGAGGAGGAGCTGCATCTCGAAGGTGGTGCTAAATCCAACCAGGTGCTGTGAACTGCTGAATGGTTGCCATGGAGATAGGATTTCTTAAACACACGTGAAAAAAATCACTCCTGGTATGTTTTTGTTGAAGTAAAGCTAAAGCTGTTCTTTAGCTTTACATGTTGAGGTAATGATGTAAAGCTAAAAAAAAGTCAATTTTACATAATACTGACCCTTTAAGGAGTTAAAATCTAATAAGATTTTTTTAATTACTTGCGAGAGCTGAGAAGTAAAGTAAATAAGGATGATCTTTAAAAGAGCGTTTTAAGTAACACTTTA